CGGCAGCGCCCCCCCTCAGAGCAGCGGCAAGAGGCGGCCCCGACCCTCTGCGCCGGGAGAACCGGGTTCGCCGGTTCCCGCGTAGGGGGCTAGCGCTCGTTGGAAGGCGGATAGCGAGGTTGGGAGCCAGGGGAAATGGGGGTTTTCAGGGAATTTTTAAAGTAAACTTTTTTTTACAGATGAATCTCTGCTGGGAGGCGAAGGATACTGGCAGCCTGGAGCTTTAAAAAACTATTGTCGGGGCAGTGATTTTCTCCCCTTTTCAGTTGCATACCCTTAATCATTTAAATGGAAGTACAGCCATTTGGAAACCTTGGACATGGCATGCAGGCCACCATGGCGCTGTAGCAATTCCCATTTGGGACAGAACATCCCCTTCAACAGTAGGGTCCGGGTTAGGCACTGTTAGAGCTTAGCTAGGGCCAAGATTCTGCAATGAGCTTTATGCAACTCCCCCTCCCAAGCTTCCACCCAAAGCTCCACTGAAATCAAGGGGGGTTGTAGCTCTCTGTAGAAATAAGGCCTACTTGTGCCAAGTGCTGTTAAATGCACAAAGGAATCAATGGGAAAATATTTTCTTCAATTTAATTTATGGTAGTGGTAGGTGTTTTTTGTCACAATAGTAGTTGCAACATTCAGACAAACATTAGTTTCAAGATGACACCCTCCCTTTAAAATGTTACATTCTTAGAAGGGCTACTGGAAATTAGAATTTTTTCCACGAGAGAGGACTAGTAGATGATGTTTACATTCAAAATAAAGATGAGCTAAAAATCCTGGAGGCACAAAACATGTTGATCACAGAGGACCAGATTCAGTTTTCAAACAAAAGCTTTGACTTTCAGTCCTAGAAATTAACCATACTAAAGACAATATGCAGAAGAGGAAACAGACTAGCATTCTTTTAACTCTTCCTGGGAGGAAAACTGAAACAGAACTGAAGGACCCATACAGACACTGTTTTGTGCTACTTCAGCCGTCAATGCCCTTTCCACCGTTGTGCTCACTCACGTGATAACAGTATTTGTGCACAAAGGGCCGTGTCTTGCTACTCTTGCTCAAGGGAAGTAGTAGCTCCCTGCGCACAAGTCCCATTGGTTTCAATGGGATTATGTATGGATTCAGAAACTCAAGTTTTAGCCAAGGAGGCAGAATCTAATCCAACATAATCAAAACCAGCTATAACAATAATGACCTCAATGAGGAAAAACAGACAAAAAAAATCAATATTAAAAAGGGCAACACTAGTTGGAAAGGTAATTTTATTGCTAAGTCTCTAAGAGGTAATTGCTTACAAAGAGGAACAAAAATAGTACTCAGTGTCCTTTTAGAGCCTGAATATTTAGTCTGAAGTGTGTTGCTAAGTGCATAAACAGCTTCTTGGTTACAGATCTTAAAAATAAAACATGCTAAGTTTCTTTTATCTTTCTACCATAAAATAAAATCCAGGTCTGTACTTTTGGATGGATGACTAATAGCGTGACCTTGAGATATGTTCCTTGAGAGGCACTGAAAGCTGAAATGAACAGGAGTTGAGAGCTCTCAGTATCTCACAGGATTATGTCTCAAGTACGCATCCATATATTTTATGAGCTAAGAAGCATTCAAGGTGGTTTTGGAGGAGGCTCATGGGAGGATGTGTGTGTACTGGCACTGGGCAATATAGGAAGAGAGCTGGAGAAAAAACACATGTACAGGAAAGTTTCAGACTAAGATGAATATTCAAAATATGATTTTCTGAGCAAAAGGAATGTTTTCAATATAAAATTTAAAAAGGATCATCAGTTTTTTAGCTTATCTAGTGAAAAAAGACAGACTGAATTTGGAAAGATATGATTCCTAGCTAACATGAAATAAAAATTAATACAAGTGCAAAAAGTTTACAAAAATAATTTATGATACAGCTTTATTAATGCAACAAAAGTTAAACACTGGTTTTTAAAATAATTTATTTGGTGATTAACATCAATAATGTTACTGAACTACTTCCAGTTTGGGCACCAAGTAATGACTTACCTTAACACTGTTCTCTTAAGGTCTGTGGAGCCCTTCTGGATTTTAAATATTTTGAGATTTAGTTGCCCATTTAAAAAGTAAATACTCAAGATTTGGTGCAATACCCAGAAAGCTGGGTATGTCTCCTCCACTGGTATACAACAAGCAAGTTAGTGACATAGACAGGGACGTGCAACATTCTGGTTCATATAAAGACTGATCCAAAGTCCATTGATTTAACAGGAGTCTTTTCACTGGCTTCATTGGGCTTTGAACTAAGGAAGTAAACAACATGGAGACATATCTTCTGCTCCATTACAAACAAAACTGAGAAAAGAGGTATATAATTCAAACAGAAAACAAGAATAAAAGGAGAGCTGATATGGAGAAATAAATGTTATTTTTGTAAACTTGTAAGACTGCATCAAACATCTAAAACAAGAAATAAACTGTGTATATAATGTTAGCTGACAATGACAGTTTATCTTATAGATGACAGCTTGTTTCTAAACCAAAGAAACCTGTACATTAAAAGTATTAAGAGACGAAAAGGCTGTGTGAGGTGGAAGAGACCAGAGCTTTTCAAGAGGATAGATAGACGGGGTATTTGTAGGAAGGATACAGGAGAGATCCATCATCTGTCGTGGATTGTGCATGTTTTTTTGAAGAAGCAACACGGTGTCCCAGTCTTTGTAGAATCCTTATAAGAGATCTCTTTTCATATTTGTTCAGGCTTCAAATTTAATGTTACCCCTTTAATCAAGATCAAATTTATTCTGCCATTCTGGGCACCCAACAGATCTTTTGGAGCAGCCAAGTTGTTATTTCAGGAGAAAGTGAGCTGCCCAGATGTAGCATAGTAACCAGAACTGTCTGTGGAAAATCTCTGAGAAAGGTGGACTGAATTCAGCTGCAGTTCTCCAAAACAGAAGTTCTCAAAGATCTGAAAGAGAGGTGTTAGAACCCATTAATAATGTTCACACAAAATAAACTGAGGCATGTTTGCAGACCTGGCTATAAAAATCTACCCTGGAAAGTCTCAGAGGGGTAGCTGTGTTAGTCTGTAACTGTAAAAACAACAAGCAGTCCTGTGGCACCTTAAGTGTCTCTGACATTTAGCTCTACTTCTGTATTTATTTTGCATTTAGTAGAATGAGTCTTCAGAAAAATTATTTTTGTAATAGAAAATTAGATTAGTCTTTGTTGATGATGCCAGATGACATTTAGGAAACTGAATTCCTGTAGTACAGGGCTACTCAACATGCGGTCTGTGGGCCACATGCAGCCAGCGGCTTGTATGTTTGTGGCCCACAGGGCAGTTTGGGATTACGCAGGGCTAAACACGTGGCCTACAAGTGGGATCCTTTGAACATGGCCTCTACTGGGAACATGCTTCACAACAGTGAGAAGTCTCCCAGGTGGGAGGAGCACTGAAAGATGCAAGCAGACAGGCTGGCTGGAACAGACTGGGTATAGGGTGTCAGCATTTCTAACCCCCAGGCAGGAGGTGCGGGGAGCGCCAGGGCATTGTGGGAAGTGCTTTGTATTCATGCCTGTCAGTGTGAAAGAAGCTATTTGCATGTATATGCAACAACACAAAAGCTGTGTCTACACTGGTATGAATTTCCGGAACTGCTTAAAACGGAATACTATTCCGTTTTCAGTTTTTCTGGAAAAGGAGCGTCTACATTGGCAGGCTGCTTTTCTGGAAAAGCGTCTGTGGCCAATATAGAAGCGCTTTTCTGGAAAAGAGCCCCGATCGCCATTTTCGCAATCGGGGCTTTTTTCCGGAAAAGACTACTGGGCTGTCTACACTGGCCCTTTTCCGGAACAGTGTTCCGGAATAAGTACTTATGCCCGAGCGGGAGCAGAATAGTTCTTCCGGAATAGCGGCTGATTTTGTACAGTAGAGCATCGTTGCTTTTCCGGAAATTCAAGGGCCAGTATAGACAGCTTGCAGCTTATTCCGGAAAAGCGGCTGATTTTCCGGAATAAGTGGCCCAGCGTAGACACAGCCTAAAGTTGCGGCCCTTGGCATGTACTGTGAGTATCATCGTGGCCCCTGGGGCTTCCAAAGTTGAGTAGCCCTGCTGTAGTACATACAGCACAGTGGGACTGCAAGCCTTCCCCACCCTACCACATCCACTTGACTTAGCCCTGAACTAGATGGACCACACCATTAAATATGAGATATTAGTTCAGTCTTAAGGCCTATTCCAATCCATAGCAGAAAACATCATCAAAGAAGGCCAGTCTGGGCTAACTACAATTGATTTGACAATGTTAACAGAAAACTGGATTGAGACCAGATTATTCATGAGTCAGTCCTCAGAAGACAATGGTTGTGGCCAGGTTGGTCCAAAATCAGATTTGCACACAAGGGCTTTTTATCCTAACATTAACCCCCAAGCCACTGAGTCCTTCTTTATTCAAAGACTTTTAAGAGGAAAGGGGGCAAAAAGCCAAAGCACAATCCATAAGGGAGCCACTCCAGTAATTAACGCCATTTATAAGCCACACACAAAAATGACATCAGAATTCATTATAGGAAAGTTCAAGCAATAGTGCTTGGAAATGCATCATGCTGAAGCATAAAGTGCTTTTCCCATCCATTAAGATGCAGGAAATTACTCTACCTTAAAATACCATTGATGCCTTCAGAAAGCTTTCCAATAAAAATACTACTTTCAAACTCAGTTTAATGTTCCAGTGCAGAGGGTCCTCAAGGTCCTGAATGGTAAAGTCTTCCCACCACAAGGAAATAAGCCCTCATTCTATCTTTCCTACTAAATTTTATATTAGTCTCTGTAAACATTGGCTTAAAACAGTCACACACAGCTCTTTCTGCCATTATGGAATTTGTGAATATTAATGGCCAGAAAAAGACTAAGTTCATTAAACTGCCCTTCTAGAGTCAATGATACATTGATTTTTCCATATATAATCATCTTAAACATAAGATCTACTTAGCAGCTATGAGGATGCACTTTCCCCTTTCCAAAATGCATTTAAGTCTCCCCAGTACTGATTTATACAATTTACTACTGCTGACTTTGACAAATTGGTTTGACATTGCAAATACCCCTTTCTCTAAAGAAACAGTACTGGAAGTGCTCATGGGATAATTCTTGATTTTATTTTCAAGTGAATTTAATATTGTTGTAATCTGCCTGATTAATAGCTTTGGAAATGGAAATTCCCTATTTATCCACAGGCAAACTGGTGAAGAAAGCTTCCTCCCTCCCCTCAATCCTACAGCAGCAGGGAGTGCTCCAGTAGTGGGCTCGATGCATCCACACCAGCAGTAGGAGGGTAGTTCAATCATCATGGCTAATACAACCATCTGCATGAAAGTACCAGTTTGCACACCTGTTCACTAGGAACTGGGCTCAGACCAGCAGTTTATTTCATAGTCATGTAACTTTGTTTATTCTCACTACTAGCATAGGTTAGATTCAAAACACTGGCCAACATGACAAAGGCTGTGTCCCATTTCCAATCAGCCAATTCATGGCCATCTTAAGATCTGCCCATGAGCTTTTTTTTTTAAATAAGCAACTACTGAAACATTTTATCTCCATTTATTAACTATTATTTTCGAATCTAGCATATATCTAACCAAAACCCACTGCAAGCTTACTTCTAACAGCACTTTAGTGGTACAATTGCCAACTTCATCATTCATACTCCTATTAAGTTAGAGAAACTGGCTGTAAATCACCTAAAGATAGTTTACAAGAATGTACTTGGCACTGACATAGGCCAACTGCCCTGGTTTATTTCCTGGCAGGAAGCTCTCCCACAGTAGTGGTCATTGCATTCTTGTAAACATGCGTAAGGAAGGAGGCAGATTGTACTTCTGACCCAGAAAGTCAAGTCAGTATGAGGTGATGGACTATAGGACATAGCTACACACTCTTTTTTTTCTGATAAATTCTGCCCGCTCCTCACTGCCCAATCCATTTGTATTGGAGAGCTTCTTTTCCATGCAGTGTATTAGCCAAGTCTTCCTCCAATTAATACTAGGAGTTTCACTCCTGCGATGCTTCCAGTAACCTTGAATGAGAAGTCACTCCCAAGCCCCAATTTTCCAAGTGCTAAATAATCTTCCTGTCTGGATCCTTGGGCAAGCATTCAGCTCTTTCATTTATTATTCCACCTCAGTGGAGGAATTCGTTGTGTTCTATTTCTGAGGCTCAGGAGAAACACTTTTCCTGTTCTTAATTTGTGTAATCTCCTCCTTTTGTGTTGTGCAGATTTTTTGAGGACTGGGTGGATATAGTTCACCTAGCAGCAATTTAATTGAAATGCAGCTGTAACTCTAGCAGAGCACACACCATTTAAAATGAGATATTTTAATAAAGTATCTAAATAGTATGAGGTAGGAAAGATGAGAAATGACTAAGAAAGCCCAAATCACATGCTAAACAATTATAAAGATTAATATACTCCCAGGAGCTTCCAAAATTCACATTAGAGCACCGAGGACCAGAGTCTCATTGACAAACACTGATGAAAGTAAAATGGTTTCTTCTCTCTCTCTTTTTTCTTCTTCTTCTTCTTCTTTTTGGCTTTGATTGCTCTGACTATTTGAAGAATATTTTTTATTACATCTCCAGATCAGGCTTAGTGCCAATTGGCCTGACATCCACCAACCATGAGAAAATTTTAAAACTCTCAATTCTGTCAAGATATTCATGTAGTTTACTCCTCCCCCCACAGGCCCATATAATCCTCTTTCTTGGAAGACCCTATCTTCCCCAGAGATAACAATGCTGAAATTCCTGAGTTTCAGGCCAGCTCTACATTAAAACACCTTTCAGAAATACACCTGTACCAATGTTGCTACATCACTGTGAGATCTCCTATGTAGCTGCTTCATGCTGATAGGAGAGAGCTCTCCCATTAACATAACTAAACACCTCCCAATGATTATTGGAAGCTTTGTTAGCAGAAGAGCATTTCACACCAACGTAACACTGTCCACACTGGTGCTTCTGTTGGTGTAACTTAAGTCACTCAGGGGGACTTTTTTCCCCTCATACTCCTGAGTATGAAAGTTACACTCACAAAAGTGCTAGTGTAGACAGCCTTAGTAATAAAGTTGTACATTCTGAAAATACACATGCTTCAAGGTCAACCACAGGACATAGCACATTAATATTCAGGGGTCGACAAATTATGGAAACCCCTACTCGCCAGACAAAAAATGGACTCGCCACCCTCCCCCACAAAAAGTGTTTTTTTCATGGCATAAATTCCTAATAAGAATAAGAATAGTAATTACTAATAAGTTATTAATAAATATCACCCAAGTTATTAATAAATATCTTATAAACCTCTACCTTTTCTCTCTGCTGCCATGTCTCCTCCTCTTGCTCCATCAGCTCCCCTGGTGCCTGCTGCCCCCAACCCCTCACCCTCCTCTGCTGTCCTGACTCTTGCCCTTCTCACTGCCCTCAGCCTTACTGAGATCTGGCCCCCTCCGCCAGCCTTTCTCTCCCCCCTGTGCCCACTCCTCCAGGAGCCCCACTGTGATCATGTGAGCTACCCCTCCTCATCCCCTCTCCTAAAACTTCCCTCTACACCTGCCCTTCCTCTCTCCTCTGGTGCTGGTCCCTCCCCTGCAGGTGTCTACCCTTCTGCTCCACCTCCAGAATCCCCTGACACCTGCCCCCTCCTGATGCCTTCCCCTTCCCTCCCTGCCCCTGTCCCCTTTGCCTTCTTTTTCCCTGATGCCCACCCCCTCACCACTCTCTGCCCCCCGGTTCCCTCATGCCTCTGTGCCCTCACAGATGCCTTGCTCCATCCCTGCCTTCCTTATGCCCACCCCTTCTTTCAAGCCTTCTCCCAGCACCTCCCCTTCCCCCTCTAGCCCCCAGTGCCCTTACTCTCTCCTCTCCCAGCATCACCCTGTCCTCCCACCCACTGACACCTCCCCTC